CATATTACAGGAAACCGAAGGGCAACTGGACAAGGCGAAGGGGAATGAGCCTCCAACTTCGCTTCCCTTTTTTCTTGTTCCTTCTTTTCTTCCCTTTGCAACAAGCGAGCTGAAACTTTGCACCGCTTATTCTGGGCATGTGTGAGCTAAAGATTCCAAATTTAACCTGGAGGGTTCTATGGTTCACAAGTACGAGCGTGTGGAAGTTTTGGTGAAAAAATTGCTAACTCAATAACTAGAAAAGCTGGAGGCTGAAATTTTGAGGGAATGTTTCTGCCCACACACAGTTTTAAGACTTCAAATTCAGTTCTCAGGTACACGTGGTACTCAGATACGAACACATGAAGGTTTTGATGGAAAAATTGCCAACTTGGGGACAGAAGAGGTGAAAAGCCGAAATTTTAGAAGAAGAGCTGGAAAGTTGAAACTCATGTAGGGCACTTAAATTTCTTAGCGGGAAAATGGCTCATTTAAAAGCTAAGTCGTTTTCAAAAAAAGCGTCTGGTAAACGGAAATTGTTTATTTTCGTTTGTATATAATATACGATAATTTACGGAGTGAGCGCACAAGGTAGGTGTGAAGCAATAACCATTCAGGTAGCTAAATGCTTCAGATTTGGTGCAAAAACACATGATCGCACCGGCGAACTTGGTGCGTTCCAGCCGGGGTTGTGCTTGCACTAGAAGTACATATCTTTTCAAATGGATTTATACGAGAACCACGTAGTGACCATTAAAAAAATTCATGTGTTAACAATGCAGAATTGTAGCATTGACCGATCGGCCAGAACTCTAGTACTGGCCGGCTTGGCTGCACATCAGTAAAATCGAGACTTACATATTAATAGTACTGGCCATCATCTCATCCTGCATGCTTTGCATTAAACTTTCCAAACCTTTCTTAGATATGTCTCTTTAGAGCTAGAACGATTTTTTGCCTAAGTCGACACAAATAAAGAATTTCCACGATTACTACGACCGTCTGGAAAATTGGTGTGAGGAACTGAAATCAGTGGTTTTACTGAAATGTTTCCATACAACGGGGAGCATGCTGAATTCACTTTTTTTTGAGCCATACACCTCATTGTCAATACTCATAGTCTGTTCAATATGTGCACCATCTTTCAGAAGCTGCGCGACTAGTGGTTCATTTTCACGCTGTTGCTACTCACTGATACGCATTGTCCATCGGTTGTCAGCCATTAGTTGCTCTCTCATATAGCATTTCTATGCGTTTTTTGCACCTCTACAACGCACAAAATGCATATTGACGAGAGGTTGTCTGGTTGTGCGCTGGGCATCTGTACCGATTCTTCATCTCGAGACCTGCAAAAGTTACAGAGCTGAAACTTTAGGAACTTAATCTATATGCATCAGTTAAGCCCCAGTTCCCAAAATGGGCGGTTTTGCCGGCGGTTTTCCACGTTCGGACCCGTGAAAGTTTTTTGCGGGCAAGTCGCTAACTCGGGAACTAGAGAAGCTAGAAAACTGTAACTTTAAGGGGATGTTCTCCGTCCAATTAGTATTAACGGGTTCAAAACCAGCCCTCGAGTGTGCATGATATCCTCTTACGAGTCCGCCAAATTTTTTTGGGTAAATTGCTAACTCGGGAACCTGAGACGCTAGGTGACTGGAATTTTAAGGTTATGTTCCCTCTCCTAATGAGTTCAAAATTAGCTCCAGGGTATGCGTGGTTCCTGTCTACGAGCCCGTGAAAGTTTTCTGTGGGTAAGTTACTAACTCGAGAACCAGGAAAGCTTGAGAGCTGAAATTTTAATACGGATGCATCCTGACAGTCCTGTTGGCCAGTCTCCATTCTTTTAGCTAGAAGCATTTGCCGGAAAAGTCGGTGCCGGTAGCATCAGGAACTGTGGGGAACAATGCAAAAAACGCACCTTCGCACCGGCAGTCTGTACGTTGGCCAATTATTTATGTTTTTTGCCCTGCAAAAAAGCGTGTTGTATAGAGGCATGCTGTGAAATCCCATCCACATATTTCGTTTTCCAGACTTGCCTACGAAGCTGAAGTATTGTTAACACGGTCTACCACTAATTTAGACGTAAAATGAACGTTCATGCCCTCCCAATTTTTCGTAGGTTTGAGGTCTTTTTGTGTGGCATTTAATGCTTGCAAGATGAAAGTTGTGTGTCACACACAATGGTTTACGAAAGGTCAGATAACTCAGTGTGGAATGCTTTTGATTGTAATTCTTATTTTCAGTGACGCTACTAATTATGAATTTTTAATTTGCAGCAAAGACAATTCGGCACCATTGAAACTAACTGGCTTTGGTGTTTCGATGAAATTACCGGGCGCATCAGCAGCTGTACGAGCCGGTAAAAAATATTCCGAAATTTCATTCAATAAACTAAATGATTCATTTTTCGATAAGATCATTTGATTAATTAATTAGTTATGGCAAAATGCTTTTGCTACACTTTCAAGGAAAAAACTGAAGTCCTGATATTGATTTCATAGTGATGTCCCAACCAAGTCAGCAAATCCAATTTAATTCTCAGGTGCAGATTCGAGTAGTATTCAAGTTTAAACATAACTCTGGATTTTTTTCAGGTCGTGTCGGTGTGTCACATTTCATGGCTCCTGAAGTGGTTAATAACATGGAGTATGGCACAAAAGCTGATATGTGGAGTGCTGGTGTATTGCTGTACATACTACTTTGTGGACGTTTACCATTTGTCGGAACACGCCAAAAAGTTTATGAAAGTATCTCAGAGGGAAGATATACGGTAATCACATTACCTGAAATGAAGGAACTTAACAGCCAGATCACTCGCTTTTCTAGGATTTTTCATCACTAATTTGCGCTGCATCCTCTGGCGACAATTGATGTCGATCTTTTGCAATTAAAAGTGTATATGAAAAAGCCTGTCAAAATTTTAACTAAAACTATAATTCGCGACATTTCTACTGCCCATAAATCGAAATGCATCATTTGCCGTTACTAACTGAAGGTAGCTCTAAGTCAAGCAATTAAACTATAGAATTCTTCAACTCTCTTCAAATGGCAAGTATAGCACTACGCTTGTAGAATTGCTACAGGTTGTAGGCTGCCAAATCTTAATAACTGGTCGCAGTCCGTTTGCTGTCTTCGATCTGGAGGTACCACAGGCATTGACCAACGTGAAGCTGCAATCGAACTTTTCGTACTTGCGTGGCATAGTAGACATACGAATGTTTAAAAAAGGACGAACAAGGGAGGCTATGAGCTAACGTAGGCTGGAACGCACCAGGCGAGCCGGAGCGATCATGCGTTTTTGCACAAAACTTGA